GAATCATGGGCGTCATCGTCCCTCCATTGTGATTAGAATTTTCAATTGTTTCTTGAAATACAGATTTCGTGGCAGGTGCAACACTTTGTGAACCTCCATGCGCAGATTGCGTGACAGGCGCAATACTTTGTGAACCTCTATGTGCAGATTTCGTGGCAGGCACAATATTTTGTGAACCTTGATGTGCAGATTGCGTGGCAGGCGCAATACTTTGTGAACCTCCATGTGCAGATTTCGTGGCAAGTGCAGCACTTTGTGAACCTCCATGTGCAGATTTCGTGATAAACACAGCACTTTGTGAACCTCCATGTGCAGATTTCGTGGCAGGCGCACTCCTACCAACGAAGACACTTGCAATTGGTGTCTGCCAAGGGTTAACTATTGATCTTCTCAATCTCTGCAATCTCCTTGTTACCCTCTTCCGGCATCGAAGGCTCAACGAGATCTGCGACTTTTGATGTTTGCTCGCTCTCTTTGGCAATTTGTTCCTGAGATGGGTTTTCTTTCTTGTTCCATGGGTGGTAAAGTCTCAAAGGGATTGCCGGCATTTTTTTTCATCAAGCTGGCTCACCGAAGGGGTCATAGAAAGAGATTGCTCACCATCAAATTGGCCATTCTCAGGCACCATCTCTCCCTCCTTCTCCTTTACACTTGGCGTGGGGACCTCTTTGGCAACTTGTTCCTGAGATGGGCTCTCTTTCTTGTCCCCCATAGTTTATAAAGGCTCAAAAGGATTGCCGGCAACCTTTTCATCCACCTGGTTCATCGCAGGGGTCAAAGAAAGAGATTGTTCACCATCAAGTTGGCCATTCTCAGGTCCAATCTTCCCCTCCTTTTCCTTTACACTTGGCATGGGGTCTGCTACCACCGGTGTCTATTCTATTTCTTTGCCCACGCAGCTGCCACATTTCTCGCACACCTGGCAGGGGAATCAAAACAAATCATCTATTAATATATACCAATACCTATCCAATGCAATAGGCAAAATTAATATTACCAAATTTGTTCTTTTTCAAGCCCTGCCAAGACAGAGCTGCCACCATACAGCTTGCGAGCAAGGAACGCCCGGACTTCCAGGTCAAGGTTCCCGTCTGGGATGTACAAATTCAATTTGACCGCATTCTCCAACAAGTCGGGCTTTGGAAGGCAAACCAGCTGGCTTAGCGATGGAATTTTCATTGCCACGCCGGAAAGCACAACAAATATTAGACATATATATATATATATTAATTCAATGTCAATTGCCCATTGTCTACTGCTTGAATCCTTATTTATGTCAACGCAATTCTTTGAAATGAGAGTTCCCGTGACATATCATGAGACCGCATGCAGAATCAGGATTGTGAATATTTTCATTCTATCTTGAAGTGGTTCCCCATATATATAATGATATATGCTTGAAATAGAGCTAGATGCGAGAGAAACAATGGCAAAACATGCAAGCTTGGTATGGTAGAATGGTATCACAAGATCCAAGATTGAGATCCCATTTAGTGGAATGAATAAATGTAATTGTGAAACAAGGGATATTGATCAGTATGTTCATCTGTAGATGTTCCATATCAAAACCTTTTAATTCTTACCCAATATGCAGAATTCGTAGCAGGGAAACATCGATCTACGCGCATCGCTGTGAACCGCGCTATAGTATGCGGAATAATCTGTGGAGGTGGAAGCTAAGAACTAGCGATTTTGTAATACAACTTTAATACGCGGAATATCTAGGGAATTAGAAACTCAGAATTGGCGATTTTGTAGTGCAATTTTAATATACGGAGCAATCTATGGAACTAGAAGCTAAGAATAAGCGACATTAATATTTTTCTTTTGTATTAATATTTTTCTTTTTCTAACTTAAGAATTAGCGATTTTGTAAAACAAATTTAATATACGGAAAATTTAAGAAATTAAAAGATTAAAATTAATAATTTTATAATTCAATTATAATAAATAAAATAATTAGGGAATTAAAAATAGAATTTAGTAGTTTTATAGTTATATTATAATATATATAAAATATTTAAAGAATTAAAAAATAAAAATTAATAATTTCATAATATAATTTTTTATATAAAATAACTAACGAACAAAAAAATAAAAATTAATAATTATATTATATATAATTTATAATACATAAAACAAACCAAAAAATTACATAACAATTATAATAATAATAATTATATTACAATTTTTTTAAAATGCGACGACATAAATCATTTCTTTTCTAAATTTTGCAAAATGTATAATTATTTTGTTCCTTTCGTTCCATTAATCGAATTCATTTGTTTTTATCAATAATTATCGCAATTCGACGAATCAATCCTATCATATATCCATTTCCGATAGATTTATTCTTTTAGAAATTTCCGCCGCCGACCGAGAATTTTTTATATAACTATAATCTATTACTATATTTATATTTACATAACTATATTTATACTTAAAATTATATATTATAATAAAATTACGATAAAAAATATGTTAGCCTAAAATACACGATTAAAATCCGGCAAATAAATATAATTAAATTATAATAAAAAATATTAAACACATACAATGGTAATTATAATCCGACGAAAGAAACGAAAAAAAAATAAACAATTAAAAACACATTAAAATAAAATCTAAGAATCCTCACCTAATAAATTAAAAATCACATATTTATATATAATAATATATATAAGCTAAATTTATAAATTCGATCCGATCCTTATCCTATTTAATATGTTAATAATATAAAATATTCTAATATTATGTATATTTAAAATATGTTTATAGATACGAATCATATTTTATATATTTATTATATGTATTAAATTAATATATTTTATTATTCGATTTTTTTCGAGCATTGCACCACAATTGATCTGATTTGATTTCCTAAAAATTGAGACCCTCGATCGATTGATGACAATGTATGATAATGTTATGAACATATTTGGATATAAATTCTCTGTGGCGTCCCCCGGAATGTTGATTGTTGCCCTCAAGAATCACATGTTTTAGGTGTTTTTGCTTGGAGAACCCCCCAAAAACAGCAACTTCTTCGACTCGCAACGCCTCTGTGGAGATCAGATTCATATGCCATCTCGTGACACACTTCGGATCCGATTGCCCAGATTGCATGCGCCAGCTCCTTCGTTGGAGACTCCATGCGCCCACATGGGGGTAGTTTTGTAATGGCCCTATGTCAATCACCTATGCTGCAACATGCTGCAACCATCAACACAAGTTCTCCTCAAATGCAGAGTCCACCCAAAGGTTGTTGCACGTGAAAGCTCAGCCACCTGGTCACAAGCCACCTGAAGCTTCCGACAAAGAACGATTCTCACTGCACCGATTCCAGGTGGCTCAGGGTCGCATTCAAGTGTTCAATTGTACCTTAGGTGACCAAACCAGTGTCTAATCGCTTCCTTGGCATCCCCCCATACTATCCAATCCCGGGGAAACCGTGGTCAGTGTTACTCCATGATATCCCCATGTCGTTGCTATGTTAGATGGGTGTCAACATGGTGTCTGCTCGGAGAAGGGCATTGGCTAGCAATCAGGACAGCCAGGATGAAAGCCTGCCATCGGATCCAAATATGTGGAGGAGTTCCACATAGAGCTCACTTTTCACGGAAAGCGCCCTGCAACTGGGACGTGGTCATGGAAGAACTTCTGAACTTCTCCCCGATATTGCAAGAAAGCTCCAGCCACTGTCTTGAATCTGGACCTTGCTTGAATCCTTCGAATTTGCTAGACTAGATTCTGACAGCTATAGCAGCTATGCATCCCTGCTCAAATGCCCGGGCCTAAACCTTTACGCCTTTTTACAGCAAAAGGGCCTTCCGTTGTCCCAAGTGTCGCAGCAGCCTAAAGACCCATACTCAGCCCCGCAGGCACTCATCAAACATGCCGGGGACCACCAGTTGTACGGATGTCCAGGATCTCTCATGAAGGTTTCAAAGACTACCCTGAATTGGTTGTGCAGGATAGTTCCAGGGTAGATTTCAACCAGTCAAAGAATGTCAAAGACTCACAATCTATCGAAACAAGCTGGCACAAAAAAAAAACACATCTTCCTTCCTGTTCAATCAAATGGCATCTGCCCTCCCTTGGCTTCCAAGCCTTGACATCCTATTCAACGGCCGTAAACTCCAATGAGTTCACAGGAGATTGGACGAATCTGGGCGTTGCACAGAACGTCGAAGCAAAGACTGAAACGCGCGACGGCCACGAACAGCGCGGGCGCTGCCCGACGAACTGCGTCGCGCTATGTTGGGCTGGTGCCAGTGAACAGCCGGTGTTGGGGCGCCAAACTGATGCCTGAAGATCGTGGACATGTGAAGAGGACACGGTCAAAATCCATGAATGTCCATGTGAAATCCTGTCAACCGAATCAGTCGGCAGAAACACCTCTTTCCGCATGTCCAAAGCTCTTTTTTGGGGGGTCCCAAGATGTTCCAAGATGGGCTGTCTGTGGCTGCAGCTGAGCTGTCGGGACCAGCTGTGTCGCGTCCCAAGGCGGCCACACTTGGCAGGATGCAAATTGCCATGCTACAGCATGAGTATTTGTATCAGACCTGGCACCGTCGCGCACGAAGGAGCAACATGGAGCAACCCGCAAAGGAGGAGCAACCCTGGTCCTCAGCAGGTCACCTCCGAAACAATGGAATTGCAATACCTGTAGAACAGAAAATACAGCTTAGAATCTAGACGATCTTCGGATGATATCTGAGAGGTCTGTGGATTTTGGCTGCCTCATGCTGACGTGTCCAAGTCGAGAATGTCTCTTTTGCAAATGGACGATGTACCAAACACCCCAACTCTCGAAAACGATCCCGCAACGGTCAGTGCGCATCCACAAAACGGCTTGAACAAGCACCTGCTCTCCTGAAACCTTCTGATCTGCTCACCCTGCCCTCCTCCCTGCCCCACCTGGCCAAGCGAGGTCTAGAAAGTCAAAATTGAAAGTCTCAAACGCACGATCCACCACACCACCTGGCCGCGCGACATTTCTTCGGGCCGCCATCAGTGGGTTCGCGCCACGCATGAAATCACATGCAAAAAGAACACATTCCAAAAGGCGGGTGTTTTCGGTGCCGGCCGCATGGTCGGATTCTGACCTCGCAAGACGACTTTGAATTCCTCCATATCTTCAAGTCATCACCTTGTAGATTCGACTCTATGAGGATCTGAAGAGGCTGATGGTTGCCATGTCTTTTCTGCTACCCCTTATAGGTAGGCTGCACTGGTGAACCACAGACCGTTCTCTCATATCCAACAAATCAATTGATATGCACAACAGTTACGACCCTCAGACGGCTCCAACTACCTCCTGAGATGGTATGCCTCAAACACCTTTCTTTCACCGTTAGGACCACTCAAGTACAGCAGCCAACATGTTTTGACAGGGTTCCTCCACCTGTTTTGACATGGTTTCCCCAATACGGTGGATATGGAAAAACCCTGGGTCCAAACGGGGAGACCGACTGAACGGACGACCTGACTGGTCCAGGTCCGAGTTTGGTTCCGCTCCCGGGTCTTGACCCACTCATATATAAGTGTGTCTACTATATGTATAACGGTCCCCATATATAGATAGGGGCACGGTGAACCCAATACATGTTTGAAAGGGGGTTTTATTGTCCTATTTTTTACCGACTGTCCTATCTATTTGTAAGCATCAATCTCAGCCAATTTTGCACGATTTCGCGATCTGTCTCCGGAGCCTCGAACTCATCGATCATACCTGGACGCACAGTGGCGAGAACGCGATGGGGCAACCCTGGTTGATATGTACAAATATGTGCAGAAATGGACGCCCAAATCCAGGCATTTGTCAATGAAATTTCGAGTTTGGTTCTGAAGACACACATATTTCTTTACAAGTTGGCTGGAAAATCAGTTTGGAACAGTTGCCAACCCTCAAACATTGCAGAGTCACAATATGGCTCTCGCTGGTTTATGGAGTTTTATGGGTGATACGTGGTGATGTCATTTAGAAGGTCTAACCTGTTCTGCCAAGATGTTCCCGGATTCCTTTACAAACAATCTGAGTGGATGAGTAGATCCGCAGCCTCTTTATCGTTTCATTCCCTGCTCTCGTTGATCCTTGATCTTTCTGAACATGCAATCTCTGCTTGCCAATCAACAAACCAAAGACCATCTGACCAAACAAACACACAAGAAAACACTTCAAAAACATCAAACCCTCAGGATTCTCTTTGCATTGTCTCTACATTTTCTATGCATTTGCATGCTTTGAAAAAAAGTAGGATATCAACTCTGTGAGGTGAATCTTGGATTCATTGATTTCTTCCTGCTGAATCACACCGTAATACCAGCTGAATAATATATCAAACATACCAAGATAAGCTCCACATATGTATATATTGCTAAGCAAAATTAGCTAAGTATTGTTTCGGTTCAAGCTCCAAATCCGGTACCTTCAAACTGGAGGGCTCGGTTCTCTCCGACAAGCTCTCCCAAGCTACAGCTGGCCCCGGAAGCATCCAGAAACTACCAAGTTCTCCAACCTTCCAACGCCGGCCGGAGCAGGTCTGAGCCTTCACGTGTTCCCCGCGCGAAACAAACATCCTGTGAGAAGAAGCCGGCTTCTTCGCCGAGGGCTAAAGCGATCCCCGCCAGGCGATCGGTCGATCCCACTTCGAGACATGCGACCGATCGCTGGGTTTTGTGAAGGGAAACATGGACTCCCTCCCTGGACACATGGACTCCCTCGCGGAGAATTGAAGGCGCACATGGACTTGTCTTTCTTGGTCTTCTTTTGCTCGGCCCTCTTTTTGGCCTGGCGCGACTTATCGACAGAAAACCAGCTTCCTGATGATCTGGGTGGAAACGGTACAAAGCCATACGGCGTTTTTGTGCCCAACATCCTTCAGTGAGACAGGCAAGCTTGCCCGACTCTGACATACAGATATCTCAAAACACGTCTTGAGATCGAATCAGTTCTTTTGCCACAGAACTCACTTTTTGAAATCTAGCTTTGAGGGGATAGCTTGGATGACAAATTGTTGCCAGACTCATGCAAGCAGGCAAATGAGTGAACTGGCGTAGGCTGTGGACTTGAATTAAACCACAGCTCCACCAAACCACAGCTCCAAATCACCCCCCGTGCCGTGGCCTCAGCAGCGGCAGCCTTGACGGCATCGGAGGGAGCCGACTTCTTGGCGGCCGCGGCCTTCTTCTTCTTCAGGGTCTGGGGCGGAGGTCCAGATGCGACATCGACCGGTGATTTGGGAGCCTGGGGGAGGGGGCGCGGGGCGTGGCGCGAGGCAACGGATGTTTTGAGCGGGGGTCGGGTTTAGGGTTTAGGGCTGGTTCGGGTTAGCTGGTGGCGGGGGGCTTTGTTCGAGAAAATGAAAGGACATGAAAAGCATCTGGGATGCTCTGAAACGATGGTGAGAGACCATGTTCAGCTAGTTGGCCAGGGCAAGAGCTCAGTTTGCGGAGTGGTGGTGCGATGGATTGGGAGGTCCTTTTTCCGGATCGGTCTTATCGAGAAGACCTCGAACAAAGAGTCAAAACAACCGTCCTCCGCTGGACCCCCCCGCCGAATGGATGATATGGTGGGCTCATCCACGAGCGAAGAGAGGGAAGACATATATTTGAAGCAACGACCTAAAAAATGGACATGGCTTCCGCCGGGTCTTCTGTATCGACTTTTTTCAGACCTCGGGTAGACTTGAATGAAGTTGCAAAGGCACAATCTGAGGCACATAAGGCACTAAACAAAAGTTGTTATTCCGTCCATCTCGGGAATTCTGAGGGCCAACTCAAATGACAAGTTACCATGGAAAGGACTACGAAACGATACAAAACCTGCAGCATCGCATCGACTGCCGGTGAAGGCGCACTGCGCACCTCTAGCGCTGCTTGCTTGGCAGCTTCATCGAGGACCTGTTCTGTTCGCTAGACGCGGTGGAAGCCCCAAATCCGGACAAGCACGGCTACAAAGCGAAGGGCGTCAGAGAGTTTTCTGCGTACAAGTACCTGGTGTGTGCTGGTCTCAAAATAGCGAGCCTGATAATGAGAACGATTTGGAAAAAGGACGTGCCATCGCAATTGTTGCAGAGGATCTTTGACGCAGCCCCCGGTCTTGCCCACATTATGATAGTGTATTCACAAACGGGCGGTCCGTGACAAAGCCCCGAGCTCCAAATGGTAATATAAACCACAAAGCAAAACCCTATATTAGGCAGTAAGCATGAGCTCTGCCCCGCCTTCTCCTCACCATCGCCATTCTCCTGAGCCCAAGGGCCAAGAGCGGGGACTGGCTGTGGGAACATGGTTTTTGATGGGTTTCTGCAATGTCTTATTGTCATTGATATATTTGGGAGTGTAAATCCCTTTCCCCAACCGTCAAGAACTCACCAGTATCTTTTCACCTTTGCCTGGACTTTGAACATCTCCAACATCCTCTACAGTATATAATTCCACAATAGCGCTCAGTCGTGCCAACACGAAGCACGGAGGAGGGGAGCGAACACGCACGCACACGTCGCCCGAATGCGACGCCGGCACGATCCGGCTGCACTTGCGCGACGGCGAAAGGGACCTCCTTTTCTTTCGGAGCCTTTTCCTGGAACCGGCCATGTTCCACCGTTCTGGGAGCAGGTTGGAAATCGTTCGCCAAAAAGGCTGGATCAGGCAGGTGACTTCAGTGAGGGCGGGAAATTCCACTAATCAAGAGAGATTGGCCTTACGCTGTGCTCAATGCCAATCTCTCTTGAGTTGAGTTCCAACTGCCGAAGTTGTTGACTACCTCTTAAGCGTTGCTTTGATTGGCCTTCCTCTTCCATGGCTAAACAGCGAGCAAACAACTTGTAAAGACTGAGCTACCATGCGCATCGCTGTGCGTCTGAGGTATCCCAAGAACAGATGTCCGGCGAGAAGTCTTTCTGATTCTGGCATTGACCATGATGAAATCACCTGCAATGAACCATATAAACATCTGGTTAACCGGGGAATATATGGTTTTATCAGCTACCCTTTTGGACAACAATATCCTTTCAAAGCATTCACATGCTCCTACCGAAGACTTGAGGAATCCTGAGAAGCTTGAGTATTGCACGTCTTGCAACACATCCTCACTTTCTTGCACTTGGAAATCCACCGCACGGCTCCCACTCGCCGAACCTCTTTGGCTTTGGCTTTCGCCTTCTCTTCCTAGCAAAATCCCCGACACGATGACGAGCACGCTGAGCACCAGCACGGCTCCCGACGTGTGTCACTGGCGGCGTTCTGGTGCGAGACCCAAAGGATGGCCGCAGTGTGTGGATGCGAATTGCACCAACTGCTTATCATGATCAGTATCTGCGGGTATCTGGCACCTCCTTGCCCAAACACCATGCGTTTCATCAAAAAGATCCTGGATGTATTTCCGCGAAACAAGCATCATGAAGTCTCTCTCCAAGCTATGTACCCTGACAAAAAGAACAGAGCAACCAACAGAAACGCACCAAACCTGCCGTCAACTCCAACAGAATCACTGTCCAACAGAATCCCGCCTTCCCGTCGACCTTAGAGGCATCGGGGTAGCCTCCTGCACCATCGGTGTCGGCCTGGCGGGCGCAGGGCGCAGAATGCTTCGACATGTCTAGCAATATGGTTGGTTCGGTCACGTCACGAAGCCTCCTCAGGGTCACTGGGTCACTGAACCAAAGGTCACTTTGAAGAAGCTGGTCTAGCAATATAAGTTTCCTATAACCATGCATGGGACCATGGGACCATTGCCGCAATGCATTGACCTTGGAGACAAAAGCCTCTAGGAACCAACAGATTCTTCGAAAAGTAATGGACCATTACAGTAGAACCTGTGGAGATATTCTTGGATATGTTATGATATGCTAAGCCCACTGCTCAGCCCTTTATTTAACTTCAAGCAACATGCGGGCTTTATCATGTGACACTCCTCGAAGAGGTCCATACGATCTCTTTCAGTTCCCTCGAGCTACGGATCCTCACGTTCGGTGCATCTGAAGATGCAGGAACGCGGTCCCGCGCTCCTTATAGACAAAGTCCTGTACCTCAACATCCCGCACATGGAACGCACCTCCTTCTCCTTCTTCTTTCCTTGGCAATTCATGGAACGTGATCGCTTCAAAACGACCAAGAACGAGGAATCATCGTCAAACACTTCATCCGCACGAGGGATCGAGCTCCACCCACCGTCTGCTTTACTACTCCCAACTGGCATGCCCGACCTCTTCAACCAAGGTATCTCAAGAAACACCAAGGTATCTGGATCACTCAAACACTTCTTCGAGGCCTTCGACCAAGCTTGTGGCATGTCTTTGGCAAAGGGTCTCTTGAGAAAACATAGAGAGAAACCATGTTCACCTCTACTTGAGACTGTGCCGGTACTGTTTTCATTCTTTGCACCGCTTCTGTTGGCTGCGAAGTCGTCCATGTTCTGCCAGGTGTCTGTTCTTCTTTGAAGAAGATGCTCCACCTTGCCTTAAGAGAGAGAGAGGTCCCAAGGGCCAAGGGAAGGTGCCTGTTTTGGCAAAACAGCTGCTTGGCAAAACAGACCAAGTGAAGGGTCTTCAGCTTTTGAGTCGACCTAACAGGAGTAAAACACTGATATGAATAAGTCACCAAGGTGCTTTTCTTGGTGCCAATATGTGTCAATGTTCCCCCCTCTCAAAGGGAGAACTTTGGTATCAATCCTGGTCTAAATGAAACCCAAAGTTGCGGAGACAAATATATACCTACTTCTTGTGGGGCATGTTTGGTTATCAATTTCCACATAGGAACTGCTAGCAAAGATCCCACAAACTGGATCTGACACCTACAAATTCTGCCTGCTACTTTCCAGGCTTGACTGCTAAAGCATGCTAAAGCATGCAAAGCATGCTAAAGCAAACAAACATCCCCATTTGTTCATTTCGTCATTGGCATCAAAATCTCTTCCAACCCGAACACATGATACCTCCAACATCTTCACACAACAACATGGACGCCGGACGCCGCAACATTCGAACTGGCTCAATGAATGTCTCAGTGCGGCCTCCCTGCAGGGAAGCATCCGATGGATCGTCGCTCATCTCCAAGGGATCTTTGGCATGTCCCATGTTCCAAACCCAAAACAAAGCGGGCTCGTGCCGCAAGATCGGCACACCCGTCAGGGGTGTTTTGGCAGCATATACCATGTTTGCCCGTGAAACAGCATGGTTTGGCCCCACCCAGGATGCCTATACACCTTGACAGCAAAAGCGCCCTGGAAAGTGTTCAACAACCATATATCACTTCTTTCTAGCATCTTCTCCAGGATGATTTGGCTCTCTTGCTCTCTTCGGGTCTGCCTCCTTCTGTCCAGTGGCTCTTGCTGAGGGATGTCGATCCCCAACTCACCAAGAATCGCATCCAGGTCCTGAAGCAACGGAAGCGGCGGAAGGGGCGGTTCTGTCGCGCGGTGTTCGTTCTCCTTCCAAGCAATCGAGTGCTTACTGAGGTTTCGGTTTCAGTCAACATGTGTTAAAAAGGAGGCTTTGTTTAAAGCAAGTAAAACATCTCCAGGGTCCCTAGTGAAGGAGATGACATGTCGGTTCTTTCCGACAATTGTGGATCGTCTCGTAAACACCACCAAGTGGCTCACTGACATCCGGAGTCACCCCACAAAAGAATTTTATGATTTCAGGGTGAGGTCAACAGTAGACGAATGCACGCAAGGTGAACGTCACCAGGGAAAAAAACTATCCAGTCTAATCCCTACACCTCCAAGTACCTCCTCAGAAGGTATTTGGACCCTCCAAACCCACCCCAAACACCTTCTCAGAAGATACTTGGAGGCCTAGGGAATTAGTTGAGATCTTATGATGTTATAGCTCTTGTCCCACTCAAGTTACTGAAGGAGACTACTTGACACTTGACACTCGCACCTTCAATCCGAATAAGCTCCTCAGGGTGTCGTGGCACACGAAGCTTGTACAAACCCGCCCCAGTCGTTTCTACCTACATCGTGCTATATCTCACCGAGGGTCCGGTCATGATCCACAAATACGGTCACCCAGCTACAATTGACTGACAAGTGACAGCTTGAATCCTTCCAATCGGAAGTCCGTTTGCCATATTCAATCCACTCCCTACAAACTGTACTAGAGATGCTTGCTTCCAGGGTACCAGCCAATCATCCATTCAACATCCCCCCCAGTGTGAGCTTCGACTTCCACCCTTTCTTTCTCACACGTGTTCCCCATCACTTGCTTGACGGGGGTCCTCATCCTCGGGCTTCACAACCTTCTTTGCTTCCTAGGAGCAAAGAGCATTTTTGCCAGTGGACACGCATCACGTGAGTAGACTGCAAGAAGAGGTGTTGGTGTGGGGAGAGATCAGCAATAACAATTCATGGCGCCATTATAAATCTATATATTTGACGATATATGAACCAATTAATCGAATTGTCTGTCATCTAGCCGGATGTTCAACTGAAATTCTGCAGCATTCCTCTTTCGAACCTCGAGTTCACGAACCAACTCATTCAAGTGCAAAACAATGCAAACACCAATTCTTCCAACAAATCCCCTGCAGTGATGACTGTTTTGATGACTTCACTTCAGTAATCTTCGGTCCTTCTTGTTCTTCCCGCTGGATGGAGCCTCGCAGAGCCGTGGAGGGCGAGTTCGCGAGCGAGCGAAAAGCAGATCGACCGTGCGTACGACGTGTTCAGGTTCAATCCGGCAGCTTACTGGTATATCCATCAAATAACCATCATTGCAGTCAAGGAAACACCATTTAAAAGAAATACACGTTTCTTTTCTGGTATAAGAGTCAGATCAGAAACATTATCCAATGAATGCTCATTAGACCCTGGTTCTTCAGTTCGATGTTGATCGACACGTTGATCGACCCTCGCACTGGGGGAAATGGGGACCGATCCAGCGGAGGGTCCATGGGAGCAACCGGTGAGCGGTACGATGTCATAGCCGCGGTACGTTTCTTCAGTTCATGACCGAATCGGGTTCATCCCCGGAGGTCACGATCAAGGGCCTGGAAAAGGTCACGAAAGGTGGCTGAAGGGACTCCAAAAGGGATCCAAAGTTTGGACCACGTACTGAAGAAGCTGGCGGATTGTGTCTCCAACACGACATCATAGGTGATTGTTGCGAAACACGAAATGAACACGGCAAGCTTGTCGTTCTGGACGATCCTTTTTGCCGGACCGTTGTGAGCATGTCTTGTTGGACCAATAAATAGACCCATCTTCGGCCATGAAGGGAATCGCACAAATCAATACGTGGCTGTCGAACTGTCGAACCATCGCTTGACCCAGATTTCCTGGGGCCACTCCTGGCAGCTCATGACGTGCGCCGCGTTCGCAGCCCGCGAGTACTGCCTGTGGTGCCTCTACCTTTGGAGGTTCCTCCCGCTGCTCCCAGTCCTGACGGATCCACACGAAGGATGTCGCGAAAAAAAACGAGGAATTGGAGCCTTTCGAGATTTGGTTGACATGTTTGTTAGTTAGTTTTATAAGCAAACATGTGTAAAATGAGATCAACAAACACAACAAAACATCTCTCCAGATCAGTAGATTCCCTCGTTTTGGGTATTGAGATTATAAGTAAATTAAGTATATTGGTACTTCTATCACACATGACATGACTCACAATCAGGAGTGAACTCTCCCAGCCCATGATCTTCCAACTGTGCAACATGTCTGCCTGCTTTAGCATCTCAACATGTCTCTATGAATAAACAGAAAAGGCAAACATATGTTGTAAAAAAGTGGTTTGACATGTAGGTATATGGTCACTCTGTTCTTCGTCGGTCCATGAACCCTGGCTGTTGCTTCATCCTGCGACCCAGTACCATGTCCTGACCGAATGGTCAGGACTCCCCATTGGTCTGTCCGTGGTGCTATATTTAAGTGGATGACATTGGCAATTAAGGGTATTGGCAGTGAGTATTTGGCATATCTATGATTGGCAGTGGGTTGGTCTGTATTGGCTAGGCTGCTAGGCTTTGCTGCAGGGGGGCGGCGCCAATCAAATACCCACTAGGGTATTTGTATTGCTTTGTGTATGCTAGGATAAACTTTAGAACCCACGCAGGGGGGCGGTGTAGCTTCTCAATACATTCCAACTCAAAGAACTTAGACAAATCCTTAATTTGCGAACTACCTACGTCCAACGTGAAAATACCAATGAAATCCCAGCCAATGAAGTGCTCAATGCGCCATAATGCGCCAACTGCAGGGCCATTCAGGAAAGTAAAACCCATGACAGAGAAACTTGAAGAAAGGAAACTCAAATTACTCGGACACGTGCTCAGAAGAGAAAAACAACACCCTCAACACCAAGTCACTTTCTCCACAACATCAGCAATGCCAAGAGAAACGACAAACCGCAGGGTGGGAAGACCAAGACTCTGCTGGACCACAAACAACATGAAAAAGACCTATTATGTGTATCAATAACCAAGCTCGGCCAAGACAACATTTCAACAAGTATAATCGCAATATGAGAGAACAAACTATTGCACAAACAATGCAATATCAACCACCCTTTCAATAATATCTATTCAGAAAGCAGTCGCAAAAATCGCCTCTCAGTGTGAATATCCTCAATGTGAATCTCAGTGTAAAATCACCTCACCTTCACACTTCATGCATTTGCTTATTTGATCGTAGTCAATGGTGGGGACAGTGAGTGTGCCGGTTAGGTTGTAAATGTATAGTTTCTGGAAGTAGGTTAGTGCCAACGACTTGACGCCTTGATAGGTGCATGGGATAGTTATGGCATAAACAAAGGCATTGCTGCATCAATCTTGGCCCTCTGGTACGGTGTACCGGCACATACCTCAGCAAAGGTCCAGTCTCCAGTCATTCGACTCTGTGTTCGCCGGGAGAATTCTTCACTGATCGAGGCATCTCGCTTGCTGACCACGGTGCTCCTGCGACCCATGAAGCTACACCCGACACACACCGTCCAACGACCCGCCCAACGGGTCACTCCTGCACAGGTGCCTGCCAAACCGTGCGTATCGGTGCGTACGTAAGAGGCGGTCGCGCGAGACCACGTGCGGGTGCGGTTCGACCGATCTCGCAACATCTAAAGCGTGCATTAAAACCGATTGGGCGCTGGTTTTCTGTCAGCTTTGGATTTTGAAGTAATCTTTTTTACATGGGTTTTGATGGTCTGCCGAAGCATCAATGGGAAGATGTATATATGATGTGGATGTATACTACCCACCCAACTCCTTCTTGCCCACTCACCGACTTTCCCACCCCCGGCCCCACCCCTACCCTCACCAGCACCACAACCGTTAATACCACTGTTTGACCCCTTCAAGCCTTCCCGACCTCTGGGCCTTCAGACCGCCTCCATCCCGACCGCCATCCCGACTGCTTCTTCGCGCTCCGCGCACGCGCCGCGCGCGCCGCGCGCGCCGTCGTCGGGCCTCGGGTGCATCGCCTGCCTCGCTTTCGGTCTCGGTGTCCGAGATGGGCGCCTTGACGTTCAGCTCCTCCGGTTCCGGACGGGTCGGACGGCGGTTGGCGGGTGGTTGGCGCGCGCGCGCGAGTAAACCGGTCGGGTCCGGTGTGGGGGTTGTGGGTTTGGGTCATGGAAGGGCTTGAGCGGAGACAGAAAGCAAAGAACCAAATGAAATGTTGACGCTGTTTTCTTCTTTCGCAGTTCGGAAAGGGTTTCAAGCCACCGGGCAACGGGCTTCCTGTACTTGGCCTCAATCCTTCACTCGGTGTTTCCCCTTCAAAAGGCCGATCTTCTGTGCCGAGGACAGCAAAGGTCACAAGGCCACCCAGCCTTCCCTGCACCTGAATCAAATGACCAGCCAAATGGAGGTCAAAAAGGCGAACGTTCGTGTGCTCAAAGGCACTCAAAATGCTCTCCAAACCTCTGAGCTTCGAGATCGCCACGTAGTCCGGCCATGGCATCAGACCGAAGAGAACAAAGTCTATGTAGTGCTTCCCAGTCCATCAATCGCCGTGTGTGATGAAGGCAAACTGGGAAAGTTTCACCAACAGTGCCATGAGACCGAAGCCAAGCAAAATGAAGGCATACAGGGCTAGAAGGGCCCAAAAGAGCACCATTGCTACTGCCAACGCGTCTGTGTCTGTATTTTCTGAGACTTAAAAATCGAACCCAAGGACTAATCAGCATTGCTTGCCATTGCCCACACTAATGTTGGGTTTGCAAGGGTCAAACATTGGAGTGCTGACAAATTGCATGCCAATTTCATGGCAGCAGCGAACACAAGCGCGTAAAAAAAGGGCTTCTCGGAGTGCAGAACCCCCAACAAAGACACTGCCAAATACAAGAAGGTACATGTTGCAAAAATACCTTCACCCCAAACCACTAAGTGCAGTTCCAGTGCCCCAATCCTTATGCGTATCAAGAGCACCAATTCTTGATGAGCAGTACATGATGAGACCCAGGTTGCCCAATGCTCGCATCCCAAACCAAAGGAAACAGCACGCCTGAGAAAGTGTGGGATGTGTTCCACAGGCATCTTTGACATCCTGTTCCGTGATGTTTGTGGAGAATTCACACGTCATTACTTCAGGCGAATCAGTTTCGGACTCATCAGGCAAATCTGCTTCCGACTCTTCAGCGTCATGGAGTCCTTTCTTGTTCAGGATAAGAAGGATTGGTATGCAACAAGCAAGGAGGGAGACGAGCAAACCAGCTCCAAACAGCGTCCCCATGAGCAGCTGGTCGCGTTGGGACGCTTCATTCTTCCAATAATATTCAGCTGTCAGCACATGAAGTCGAAGACAAGTCCAGCTCGCATGAAGACACCGTGCAGCAAAATGCAATTGCCAAACCACGAATCAAAGCCCTGCGATTTGAAAGCGCATGATGTGGCTAAAAGGTACTTCTTCGCGACGAAAGGCTGCGGTTCAACCATGTCACATGCACAAAAAACTTTCTCAACAATGTCATCAAAGGACCTTGGGGTGAGGCCCAAATCAATGGCCCCCCCGTAGGGTCATGCAACAACGACTTGCTTTCATGCTTGCACCATGATTCAACACGCTCGAATTCGGCCGTCCTCATCGTCCGAAGCATCCGCCCACTTCCCAACGTTGGTGGGAACCTTGCACGTTTTGCGCTCGGAGTCTGCGATTCTTAGGAGAACAACGAGGTCAAAACGCATGGAGAGGCGAGGCTTCCGAGGTGTTGGCTCAAAGGATTTGGGACAAAAGGACAAAATATGACACAATTTACTAACATGCAACCCACAACCCTGAATGCACACACGCACTCGGAAACAAACGGCCAGACATTGTTTGACACTCTTGCGGGACACTCTTGTAGGGCACTCTTGTAGCACAGTCTGGTGGGACACTCTTGTACACAGTCTGGTGGGACACTCTTGTAGTACAGTCTGGTGGGACACTCTGGTGAAACACTCTTTGTGGCACACTCTCATGGGACATTGTCGTGGGACACTCGGTGAGACACTTTTGTGGACACTCGAACTCTTTGCCGGACACTCTCGGGATACTTGTCGCTCTGGTGTGCTCTTTTGGGACAGTCTCATGGGACACTCTTGTAGGGCACTCTCTTGTGGCACGCTCTTTGTATACGGCACTCTTGTAGGACACCCTCTTTGAAACTGGCGACCGCAAATCATCATGGCACTGAGCCATGCAATCGCACTTCCACCAAAGCGTGCCAAGCCCCATGGCCCGCGACATCATCACAAGGCCAACCGTATGGCACAGCGACCTTGCAAGGGCCGCATACAAAAAGCATCCAAAAGCCACGTGTCCTGTCCTGCATGTCAAGCCTCCAAAAAACGAGCCTTTCGCTCGAGACATCCTCCAAAACTCACGCATCAAGTCTCCAAAACGAGTGCTTCGTTTGAGGCTTCTCCCAAGAATCGCCGCATCAAGTCTTCAAAACGACCGTTTCGACTGAGACTTCCTCCAAATGCCAGACTGAGAACTCTCCAAGTCTCACGACTCCCTGCGCCTGCCACACATGTCTTCACCAAAATTTGCACCATGCCATTGGAATCGGAGCACACTCACATCAACCAAAGCCGCAAGTTTAACTGAGACTTGTCACAAAAGCAGAGCTTCGAGGCCAGGGACTGAAAAGCGAACCGGCACAGCGACGCTCAACACCCGAACGCCAAGCCAAAGCAAATGAGGATCTCACGAAACGCTGCACCTGCGCAGCCAAATCGTCCTCCACACTTCTACGTGATTTCACACGTATATATCTGACACTTCAGGTTTCTATCAAAAACCTCCTCCAACATCTTCCCCCAAGGGCACGGCCTTATCGATCACATTCGGTAGCTACGTCACGCAAACAACGGTCTACCCTCAGACTCAGACCCCCAAAATAACGTTAACGAGAACCCTTCGCTACGAGTTCGGGAAACAACCTTCCTCTTCAACTCGGCACGGGCTTTTGGAGTGTAGAGGGTTAGTTGAAAAGCGGTGAAGAAGGTTTTAGAGTCTAGATTAAGGAACGGTTCAGACCATAAAGATCAAGTGGACATAGTCCCAGAGTCATATGTTCTCTTTCACCTCTCAAAATAAAGACAATTATATACAATTACATATCATCATATATCCCAATTATTTCTCGGCTGATAGGGCTTTATTATTTCAATGAGAAGTCTGTACAAACTTCCTGCCACTGCACACAAATGCACACTACGGTAGAACAAAGAAAACACTCTTCATCCCCCATTCCACATAGATGCGTTTCCCGCACGGCACGCCAGATCTGGGGTCGCTGACAGGAGCAGCCTTGATCTCTTCAATCTTCTGCTGGCGTTCGAGCTCCTTCTCCTTCCGCCTAAGCCACACGGCTCGGTCCGAAGTGGGTGACTGCAGGTCGGTGGACGGCAAACGAGCAGCACCTGGATCTCCATAGAGTCGTTCATAGACCTCCCTGGTCCCTGTAGCTTCACTGACTGCACCAAACATGAAGTTCTTCATTTGTAGTAGCACACTTATAGCCGCACATATAATAGTAACGTTTCTATAGATGTGACCATTTGTTCAACTATATTGGACTCAAGTTGTTACCTGTACTTTGCACCACTGACCGCCCCGCTCACTTCTTGCCACTCGGAACCCAAAGCCGCCTGAGGATCTTCTTCTCCTGCGTGCCCCGTGTCCCACCCCCGGTGTTGTCTGGGGTTGTGGCCATGTCTACATGTGCTTCGTTATGTAGCATGAACAACAAGTGTAGCCCCGTGACTCCATATGGCAAATGTAATGTGGATGCTTCCAATGTATTTCAAGCAAGAGACTAGAGAGATCATAATGGCCCAACCGAGCTCAACACGTTATGCATGATGTGATGATTTGTCTACTCTATATGGCAAGCATATAACAAAGGAAGTGTGCCTGCATGGGATTACAAAACGATGAACATGCAATGGATTGGGTTTGTTTTGACTCATTCAGTTGCCTATGAATCTGGTCTCCGATCAAGTTACCACTTTCGGCTTGCTTTGGCTGCTTCCCAAAGTGACACTTATAGCCAACCGACTAGCCACGGTTAGCGCTTATAGTCTGTCTGTCTCCCACAGGCCAAGACAATACCAAATATATGTTGATTAGCTGCACAGTGCGGCAATCCGAGATCGACCTTTTCACGCTCGAAGCGTTGGTACTTGGTGGCCCATGCCAGGATTCTCTCTGTTTGGTGTTCGTTTTGGACCAATCCCATGAAAAAGGACACATTCCTATACCTGATCCTACCCTTTCAGTTCCTGATCTCGGCTTATATCACAAAATATCCAGCCGGTGATCGCCGGCGATCTGGATTCTTCCAGAAATGCATTGCCTGCTAAGACCATTCGTACCTGGTCCTACCCTTTCTCCTGATCTCCGTTGAATCTCACCGGCCGGGGTCATTGGTGAGATAAGTTCATGTGAGAAGCACATGTCTTCAGCTCACGAAACAGGTCCGCCCGCAGCCATACCGGCCTCATTGAGCACTGCGAAGCGAGCCGCCATGGCGGCTGTTTGGGTGGCGCTGCGTGAGTGTTCGACGCGAAAGGGTCGTCCTCTGGTCCTAGGCCGGGATCCGGAAAAAGATCGGTGTGGGGAGATGAACGAGTGTGTTACACGAGGGTCAGTTTGGGGGTGGGTGTTTCAAGAACGTTTCTGAAAAGGTGAAACATGCTCTGGGAAGTGTATCTAAAGTCACCGTTCTTCAGCAGCATTGCAGGCCCAAAAAACATATTGGATCGCATAAAGGATTCATATTAATATCTACACACACACATCGTCATTCTCGCGCCTTGTTCGGCAACTGCTGGCTTAAACCTGCGACTGGTTTGCCGGAGGCGTTCTGTAAGTGTTCAAGCAAATCTTGGGCCATGCTGTTCCAAGGCTTCTAGGAGCAGAATGGATCAGGGGCACCAGCACCAAACAAAGCACAACAATTTGATGAGAAACCCTGATCCGCAAGGGAGTGACCAAAAACGGAAAACATGTCCAACAACTAACAACTCCACAAGTTGCAATATAAATACTGTAGGATTAAATAGGATAGGATATCAATAGGTCTCTCTTGCAAATTGAACAAACTTGTTCGATCCAACTCTAAGGTTTCCTTTGCGAATGTTTGCGATGTTATGAAACCACAAGTTGCTCTTCTGCAACCCTTTGGAAGCCGGTTTTCACCGGTCCCACACTTTGAACCCGCCAACTGTCACCGCGCCTTGCGTGGACGCGGCAAATGCCGATGGCCTGGCGGACCGGAGACGAGAATGAGTGGGTTCCGCGACCAACGAAGGTGGCAAACGTCTGCGAATCACCGCCGCCACCACCACCACCACCACCACCACCCAAGGTGGTTGTCTTTTGGACTTCGGATCGGAACAGTTTGGAAGTTAAGATACTGACCACGAAGGGAAGGGATGGTTCAAGAGACGGAGCGACGGCTAGGCGGCTTGGAATTCTTAGGATCTTGCTCACATGACATGATGCCGACCAATTACTCAACACACTACTCAACATTACTCAACGAGATTCACCTGACTCCCAGAGAGTCCCTGGAAAACCACGGCTCAGCCTCACCTGGACCTGTTGGTCATGAACATCGCAGAACACAAAATATTGGCCAAACAAGTTCCATTCAGTCAGACTAATTGACTGAACCATTCCTGTCTCACCTCACCGCCTGACTTCCCGTCCCGCGGCTTCCCGCCTGACTCGTTCGTTCGGTGGTTTGGAGGTGGAAACCGACCCCGGGCACTCGGATGAAAAATCGCCGCAACGGCAGGGGGCGCAGGGAATGCGGGTGAAGGCTCAAACGGCCGCGGTTGGGTGAAGGCCAGGCGCGGCGCGGCCGAGCGAATCTCAGGTGCCAAGCTGGTGAGGTGTTTGGCGTCATCCGGTGGAACACATGTTTGTCGTCCTCCGGAACTATCAGTGCCGTGTATGGAAAACTATCAGTTTGAACCGAACATATTAAATGTCTGAACATGTCGTCAATTTGAGGCTCTTGAAGCTCTTCAGGTCGTTTTTCAGAGAACTTGGTCTCCAAGAACCAAACGGATGCCGCGTGATGCGCGCTTGATGCTACGCCCCCTTTTTGTGGCCGCTAAACGAAGCCACTGCGCATCCAATCGGGCAAAGGTTCTCCCTTGTTGAAGTCCTCGGCACCTAGAGCTGCTCGAGCGAAGTGAAGTTAGAGCTGTCTGAGACTGTCTTTTGCGCAATGGGACTGGATAAACCAAAACCAAGAATAGTGGTCCTCCCTGCCAGCGCTAAAGTTTCAACTCAAACAAAAAAAAGACGCCTGCTGGCTGGAGAGACCACTGAACCAGCATCTCTGGAGGAGTATCTATAGTCAGGCGGGGAAGGGACTATTGAGTAACTTCCAGCAGGCACTATTCTTGGAGTGAGGGAAGGCAATTCTGCAGTAGTTCTGTATGGGCTAGACAGGACTTGGGTCCTGACGAGCTCTGACTGTGTGCGATATCAAATCGATATACCTCAAGATACCCGCCGCAAGCCAAGCAAGCTTGGATTGACGGATTGACAAGCGATGCACACTCCCACTGACCACTTTGGGGTGTGCTTCTCAGTCAGGCAAGCATCATCTCCAATTAATGGGTCAGGATCAGTAGTGACCCTATCCACCCACTTCCTTCGCGTGTTAGTAGATCTGGCAGTGCCCGGGGCCCAAAAGATTGCTTCTGGAGGGTGAACACCTCCATTTGTCCTATATTCCCAACCATTCCCTCACCCTTTCCCACATTTTCGATGTTCACCCCTCCGTATATAAGGACGTCCAAGGCACTATAGTCCGGCAAGCCTTCCAAGGCCCCGAAGATGGCGCCTCCCGTCCAAGCGGCGCAGACTGGCGCGAAGTCCACCGGCGTAAAGCGCAGCTTCGTGGCCAAAGCGGATAAGGCCTCCGACCCACGTGCTGCAAGATGCCGGTAGAGCTGCTAGTAGATCGGAAAGGGCACGGAATGGAGAGCAGGAATGCGACTGAACTGCTGTGTGTGTTTTGTTTGTTGGTTTGTTTTTAGCTGAGGTGTTGAATTGCGACACAGGTCCTTCTTTGTTCTTCTATCTCACATGCACAACGGTTTCTGCAATATCTCGAGTCAAGTTGGCTTTCTCTATATACGCAAAACTGTTCAATGTTCATCTTTGGGTTTTAGGGGTGTTGGATGAGGGCTACGGCTAGACCGGGTCAGGGTCAGCTTCGCTTCAGTTCAACTCCACACCCACGATTCATAATGTGTAATCCCTGTAACCCACCAGTTGACCCCCCTCATGCGGCACATGTAGAGCACACGAGCAACGCGTGTGGCTTCCAGGGCACCTGCTCTTGCCGCAAAGCCTTCTGCAGCTCCTGCGCCAAGCGCGGGAGCAAACCCGGCAGCGTGGCGCAGCCTGCCGTGCACGGCGTCGAGCTGGTTCACCATACGGCGGTGGGCAACTGACCGATTCAGGTGTCGACCTGACTCCAAGCCCTTGTGGAATCTGCTCGGTCTGCTAGGTGATCTTTTCTGCACCCGATCCATTTGAGGTTCCCTGATTGGAGACACTCACAGGGCTGACAGGTACGTCCAGGGTGAACCGTTTCAATTTGATCGAGCAAACCACCATGAGCAAAAACGCTGTTCTACAATCGAGTGAACAATGTATAAGGATGTATCAGAAAAGAGGGACCTCTTCTCCGAAATTACTAAATGACCTTATATAAGATTCATATATAGTCGTCCCATTGCTTCTTAGAGGATAGCTGCAGGGTCCAAGTTCAGGTGGAAAAGAAATACACATGTGTCTCCGTTTCTCCACTTCTTCAGGTCTCCATGTTCTCCATCCACCACCAAATCCCTCCCTCTCCCAGATCCCTCCGCCCACCTCCACCGCCCACCGTCTCTCGCCCCGCCCCAAACGCTCCGCCGCCTCCGCAGAGCACCACGTTCTGCACGAGCGGCGCCCGCAGATCCACCGGGCTCCGCTGCAAGGCTCGGACGAAGGCCTGCCGCGCGGGCGAACGGGTCGAAGGGTTCCGCGGGTTCCGCACGAACGGGGCGAGTAAGGAATCATTCAGTTCGGCGCATCGGGCAGGTCGGAACCGAAGTTCGATTGGGAAATGCCCCAGAATTCAAGATGTCGACCAAGATTTCTCGGGAGTCGGGCTTGTCCGAGTGGTGAAGGGGTCTGTTGCCTCACATTTTGAAGGTATGGGGTCGTTACTGGTTGGGAACATGGAGAAGAGGACATTTCAGACAGAAGTCTAAAACAATACAACTTGTTTGGGAAAAGGCTAAACACATGAAGTCCACCTGTCACTTTCTACATAACTTCCGTGAACATCATATTGGGATGTTTGGGGCATGGAGGTGCATAGTTCGGGTCTACTTTAAGTTCCACCTTAGAGGGCATTGCGTGACTAGCTACAACCCAAGACTACACAGGAAACATGGCAATTGTACGGATCATAGGCTGTGTGGCTTTTATTTTCTGGTGTTTCAAAATCACCAATGAGCCTTTCAGGTAACCTCCTACTCTGAAGATGATCTCCTACTATGTGGTCAACGCAATACCTCCCACTGTACTATTTGTCTATTAAAATATCTTGGATCACTCACAAGCTTAGTGAGCAAACACAAGTATCGGCCCTCGGCAAAATCCTTAGCGGCTTCACCAATGCGCGGATTCCAAAGTGCCCCGAGACCAAACGCGCTATACCCAGACGCTCCAAACAGCCCTTGGTCCCTCAAAACCATAGGGATTTGAGGGTCCAAACCCCTCCATATGAGGGTCCGACCCCTGCATATGAGGGTCCAGGAGCGTCTGGGTATTAAATATATTACCTGTTCATCCTTTATGCCATATTGGCTGATCCTCCTGGATGAGGGTTGGCCAACACGGGCAGGAAAAGGGCACCGTCTCTGCCTCTGGCACCGTCTCGCAAGCGCAAAGGGGCGTCACTGGCGGAGTGTCTGGAGCTTCAAAGAAGAGTTCCTCGTTGAACAGCCGACGAGTCAGAGATGTTTTTCATGGGAAGATGAGAAGGTTTCAGGTGTCGGAACTGTTTGTGCCGTGAAGGATTCTGGCTCAGGGCGCTCGGCTGTGTAGCCTCATCACTCACTCACTCACTCACTCACTCACTCTCTCTCTCTCTCTCTCCCTTCTTTTTGCATTTCGGACAGACAGTTTGCCCTGCTCGGCCTGGCTCCTTGCAAGTTTCTCATTGAACTGGGCTCTACCATAATACCACCAGCGCATTGCTCGTATGCTCCAAATCTCACACAGGCGTTGGAGGAGAACAGTCCTCTACTCCTAACCTGGTAGTCCCTCCCACCGGCAATTTTGGATGATGATGATGGTTTCTATATGTTTCTATCATACTCAGGAACTCCCTACAACAGCATAACACGATGACGACAACACAATCCATGGCAAACTCACACATGGAAGCTGAAAAAGATACTTGGGGGAGGCTATTTCTTCCTCTACTGGGAGCCCACTGGCGGCGTACTTACGTTGTAACTCTATGTGTTCTTTGGGTCAAAGCTACTTGCTTTCGGTGCTTCGTTACATGATCGCCTCTCTCCTCGGCTACTCGGACCGTCCGCAACCCGTCCGGTCCAAACCGAAACCACGCCCAGTGTCCGTGGCAGCGCACCGGCAGGCGGCCGGGACCCGCAAGCCTTTCTCGGAGCCCGCGATCCGCACCTGGACCCGAGGCGGGAGGGCGAGATTGACACGACCGGGAGGGCGAGCCAGGGAGGGAGGGAGGGAAAAGGTGAGGTGTTTGAATGGGACTTCCTTTTCAGTGCTTTAACCTGCAATACTACCGTGAAGGTGTGTCTTTTGATGGAGACTGGAATGCCTGTATGCCGAAGAACTATGCCGAAAAGAAGGAGAGAAAACAACTGCAACTGCTTAAGGTAGAAGCGTGTGCGGGGATGCAACGCCACAGACTTGAACTAAGCATAACAAGTGCATGGAAGTGGATTTGCCTCGGCATCTTTGTCCGTTTTCAGGGATCTGGCCGGATATTCACCATCCTGCCGAGCAAGCAAGCAGCTAGGCGGCGGAGCGGAGAGGATGAAGATGTGCCCCTCTTGCTTGATGAATGGTGGACGGTGGACCATTCCTAAGACTGCATGGGGGAAGAACCACATTTAAGAACAAAGCTGTAGCTAGTGAAGACAAACAACAAATCCCAGTCACAGGAGTTTCCTTCAGTCAACTTGTTAACAGCACCAGTTTTTGTCGTGAAAATGGTACTTCTGGAGAATGTCCCAGGAGGTTGGCTCTCACACAAGGTCGGTTTCTGCAAGAAACACTCTGAACACGTCTGGTGCAACTATAGACCAAATTCACCCACGGACACTTTTGGGATTTCTAAATATTTTTAGACCATCTGGACTGGAATAGTTACGAGTTGCTCCCTTGATGACCCTAATGTAACTACAGTAGCTCGTTCCATACTCTCTTCCATGCATGGGTGCTCTAAGACGGACCCCGGCGTCTGCCAGTCCTTTTAAACGCGTTTGCGTCCCACGGCGAAGGTGTCCGGTCCTCTGGAAAGTCACACGCCACGTAGCAGGCACAAACTAAGCAATCTTCCTGGCCCGATCCACGGCGTCCGTGACGCGGTGTTTTTTTCAAAACGAGCGCCTCTGCGAAAGTTCTCCACATGTTGGGATCTAGGCTCGCACCACCAAAAAGAAGTCACAAACTTCAATCACTCTATGGGACTGCCATGTATGCCTACAGATCAGTTGGGGTTGACTGGGGGGTCAATGGGGCGGCATATAAATGGCAGTCCCATGGAGTGTCTGGGAATCGGGATTTCTTGCGTTGAGACCGAGTTGCATGGAAAATCAACCTTCATCCCGTCTCTAGCTGTTTCTCCCTCATAGAAAGGTAATGACCATCTGATCCCATGAGGAGTCGAAGAACATATCGCCTGCATCCCGACTAGCTGATTCATGCGCCAGCTCTACCCTCGAACCCTCGACAGTTGTAGGTCAAAAAACAACATTAACCCCGCTTACCCAACAACGTGAGCCAAACATTCTTGGATTTCTCAACCAATCCCACTGTGTGCGCATATCATATGGGGGTTTCTTCCAGGGTTTTGTTCTTTCGATGGCTCAAGATCCATGGATCTCCACATATCTCCCCTCTTCGACCGATTCAAAAAAGATCAAAATCAACCTCAACCTGCAGTCTATATACAGTCTCCTACAACTCATGTACTTTTCATCAATCCCCTCGGCCCAAATCTGGCCAGATCAGTCTCTCTTTCTCTCAAAAGACATTAAATTATCATTATACAGTCTCCGTTTTCGTCACATGTATCACATCAATCCATCTCTCAATTCCCCGCCCAGCGATCCGCCCCCATGCGATCCGCCGCGTGGCTCAGCCGAGGAGCCAGGAGCGTTTCGTCCTCCAGGGCCTTGGCGGCCTCTTCGCTCGTGGACAAGGAGACCTTCAGTGCCTCGATGAGAGTGGGAACTAAGGAAGTGGGAGCCTGCAAACATCGAAATCACACACGGTACATGTACGACGTGTACGTATACGTGATGTGATGTTACATGTATCGACGTGAAAATAGACTCCTCCGAGCCGACGAAAGATGTTCAATCCAAACCCCGCTAAAAAAAAGGACTATATAACTATATACATATAACTACAGTAACTCAAAGCTTTGCTGTCGTTGTTGGTTGCTTTTGCGTTGCTTCGCTTGTGGTTCTTTGCAGTCATGTCTGTCATCTAACGACAAGAAAATGACTGTGACTATTGATCACTGTGTCTATTTTATGGGGACGACTCTCATGCAAAATTTAGTCTTGGACTGCCTGCAATCACCTCGTTGAGTCTGAATGTTCCACAGTCGCTTTGCAAATCCAGTCGCTTTGCCTACAATTGCATAAATCTGAGCTTGCTTGCAAAGTTTAAATAACTACGTTGCTTATATATGCTTATATGATATCTTACAAACAACCACTTCTGCTGATGCTGGGCCCCAGTGATTGCGCCTCGCACCAACTCCCCAGCTCCCACGCTCGCAGTGATCGGAGCTCGCCTGAAGAAGGTGCTTGGCGCCACAGGAGGCGTCGCTGAAGGCGGAGAGCACGGGGACCCCAGCGAAGGTGGGCAACACGCGAGAGGAGCTGTAGCCCAGGTCGATCTCGGCGCGAAGAACAAAACACGATTGAAAGACGGGAAGGAGTGGATTTGAGTGGATGTGAGGTGTGTTTTCAGTCTGGCCTGCTCTCCCCGTCCTAAAAGGCACCTCAGGTATGATCTGGGGTTCCTTGAGTTGTCACTTGGGAGTTGATGTGAGTGCTTTTCGCCGATCAGCGTGGCGTCCCGCCGGTCGATATTTACGACACACCGCGGCCATGGCAAGAGCTGAAAAGGAGGATCGGATCGACGAAGGGCGTGGTCCGTGAAAGCGTGGGATGGTGTTGGAGATGGTCCAACGGATGGTGTCCGTTTGTCACCAAGCTAAGGTACTAAGTGGAAACATCCGGAAGCCGCTGAGCTCCCCTTCGCCACAGTCGTCACAAATGGCAAGAACTCCTACTACTTGTATAGTCCTATATAGTCCTATGATCCTATGCGCATTGATTGTGCATTGCAGTGCTGAACCCAAATTGCATGATCAGAGCGGTTGGAAGGTCTTCGACTTGCGACACCACTTTGCCATGGACTCTGATTGGGGCAGAAGACCGCAGGAGACCGTGGAAAACAGCAGCCCTTGAGGCTGTGGACCTTCTCCGATAATTCAAGGGCACCGTCTATCACTGGTGAGTGTAGGGAGGTGGCTGGATCCGTGTAGCCTCGGGACAAGCGGATGACATCCCCAGGCATGCACACGGTAGATCAACCAACCACTGGATACATCTGGATACCAGGTGACCAGGTGGTTTACCTAGCTGCTGCTAGCGCCGCTAGCAGCTGTCTTCAGCATCAGTTTTCACCAAGTGTTCGATGATGTTTGATGTTTCTTGGGAGCGAAATGGAGTGCTCAACTGATTTGGGTTCGCGGCACGCTGAGCAACACTAGTGGAAGGTCCGGACGGCTGGCTGCCGGGACATAAGATGTTTTCGCAAGAAATGCACCTGCAAAGGATAAATGACACAGTATGACACGTCTATACACATCTTATATAACCAGCTTTGAAGAACTCACCTCGTTCAAGAAAGTTACACTCCCAACCGTACCACACTTCATGCATCTTCATGCTGTATCTTCCAAGATACCACCAGGCCCGTATGCAAGCCCGTCCTCGGAGAATGGCTCTTTGCTCACTCAGGGGTCACATGGAGTTGCTGCCAATGGTGCGTTGGACGAGGACAGGATCTGCAAACGATGAAGATTTGAACCCCAAAACTCTGACTTCGGAGCCGTTTCCCTGAAAAATACGGCTGAACCGAACTCTGCACCTGTTCATGTGTTAGGAAAGCCAATCCCCCAAAGAGATGTCCACCAAAGGGAGTTTCCGGTGATCCACTGACTGGGTGAGAACTGATCCTTTCCGTCTCTGGATGAGTCTCTGGCAAAAAGGGCCTTTTTCAGTCAGCAGCTACTCTGAAAGGCGGGTGAAAGCCTTTGATGACCTGCCAACAAACATGGAGAGAGCAGGGAACGGGGTGTGGGGAACGGCGTGTGGGGAACGGCGTGTGAACCCTTTGGACTTGATTGTTCCTAGCTTCCTGAATCCAGGTGATCGTATATGGGAGCAGCATCTGATGAAAGGTGCAAGAAATGCTGTTGAGCGCTGTTGATGCAAGCAGCAACCCGCTAAGTACTACCAACCAAATGGCTTGGAAACCATAACATACAGGAGACTCTTTAGATGCTATCCTGCTGTAGGTGTCGAGGAGTATCTAACATAATATCCTTCCAAGGAAACTTTTGTGGATGTTCGAGACATGGAAAACACACAAAAACACCGTCTGTGGTGTTGCCTTCTTTCCCACTCTTCCAAACATCCCACCAGGGCTATATATCGACCGTGTTCTTAATTTTCAGCTGACCATCCCCAAGAATGCGGCAAACATGTCGTGTTTCTTAGGGGATTTCTAAAATAGTGGCTGCAAGAACAGTGAAGGCACTTCCGGGTGCAACTTCAGTCTTGGGAAGTTCCACTCTCTGACCTCCTCTGAGTCTGAAGAAGTCTGAAGGCGCCATACCCGCACGAGGCAAGAGCGCGGGACAAGCGCGAAGCCGCCATCCGGTGGCTCTGAATGGAACATGCTCCGAGCATCAAGTACAGAGGTAGCACGTTCTCCAACACGAAGCACAGCGAGTGCACCGAGAAGACCTTGAAGAGGACTGTCGCCAAAGCAGACCTGAAGGCGGATGAAGGCAGCAGGTAACTTGGTACATAAAGACTATCTAAACGTTTGAAAGACCCATTTGAGCAGTAGCTCATTTGACTTTAAAGACCTTAGTCTAATACTTTCATGGGCTTGAAAGTAAAGCCGGCCCTACGTCAAAGCCAGACCTCATGACCTACCTGGTGTCGTTCGCGGCCGGTGGACCACACCTCCAGGTAGCCAACCCCCCGCTCGATCTTCCAACCGACCTTGGACACCTCAGCAGACCTCATCCAGCCCGGAAAAATGATGCACATCTGACCCCATCTAGCATCTCGATGTGTGAAAGTGAAGCTCACATGGCTTTTCACCGTTACCAAAACCGTCCACGATCTGGTGGCGACCTGCACATACTAAAACAAATGACATGTGCCTTGGCAGAGCGCCACTCATCAGCTAAAATGATGGATCTCTGCACCAGTCAGGCTTCTTGTGAGTCGTTCCTCCTGTATTTTCACTGCCTCCTCGAAACTCAGCAACTAACTGAATGAATACCCCAGTGGGCTCTTTCAAGACTTCTCCCACCAACGCCATGTCTTCCCAAACGAAACCCACCGCATGGTCCAGACCGTCTATCTGGCGTTCCGTCCACTTTCCCCACAACCACCGAACACCAAAAACCTGTGACAAATCCACGTCCGGTTCCCCCCTATCTCGCCCCCAAAACCAACCACAAATCCTGTGACACCTCCAGTTCCGTCATGTTCCGTCCACATGTCTCGGCCCCGCATCGCCTAAAGGGCCGGGAAGAAAAGACCGCGTCGCAGACCACGATGCGTCGGTCTTTGGGGCTGAGGTGAAGGTGCTGAAAGAAGATCCTCGACTGACGAGACCCACGAGACCTGTGGTTTTGGGCAGGTGAGCGCTCAGATAGCCTGTTTGGGGGGACGGGAGGGGAGTGGGAAAGAGGGAAGAACAGGGGAGATGTAGATATTCAAAGAAATTCAAATCCTGACCTGAAGGACATACTTCATATGTTTGTTATTGTTTGTTGGTTCTTCTTGTTTCTGTTCGGCCTTGTTTGGGAAGGCAACGTGCCCATGGGATCGTGTTTTTGCTGCTTTTTCGATCAAGACTACCAATTACTTATATACTTGAGATACCGTGGCTATCTGTGGCCCATATGAGTCAGCTTCTGAGTCAGATGGTTCACGTTGAATTCCCCTGGTTATTCTCAATCACAAGCTGCTCATCCTAACCGAATCTTCTTGAGTCATTTCCATGATACCACGCATGGAGAAGGCACCATTGGAAACATGTCAAAATTACGTGACAAATTTCCACACCAATGAAGCTAAACATTGAGGAAACTTCTTTCTGCACGCATGCATCAAGCAACACATGCACTTTAGCCGGTAGCCTGCTTTCTACTTATACTTTTCGCTGCATGCTGCATGCACAAAGATCTAACTTATATGTAGCTTAAATAAACAGAATAACACGCACTGATTCAAAAAAAACAATTGATTTCCGGTCATCTATTGATGAATATCTATAGATCGGACCGTGTCACGTACGCTCGCCGCGTGCCACGTGTTTTGGAGAGATGGTCTAACTAGGTCGCCCAAGTTCAAGAGATTTCGAGCGATGCATGCTCTCGGTATTTTGCGTTGGTCTCGCATGGTATTGCTGGCACAACAGAAACATTGAAGGGAACACATCCGATTCTTTTCCAAGCAAGCTTGCCCCCACCCTGGGCCGGCGGCTCCTGTTCAGCAAGTCACTCAAGACCTGAGCAGTGAGGCTTACAAAAAAAGCTTCTTGAATAAGCTGTTCCCTTCTAAGCAGTGCTACAGTTGAAGCATGCGGGAAAACAAATCTCACCCCAAAAATGACCTGCAAGTCATCCACGTACTTCGGAAATTCAGCAGGTCGAGTCCTAAAGAGCAGTCCTCTCATCTCTTTGGAAATCTGATGAACATCTTCTCCACATCCCTGATCTACACATCCCTGATCTATATCGTCAACTCCTTCAAAGAGAACCTGTAATTTTCTGAAAGTTTAGATATGTTTAGGTCAACTGTGCCAGCAAATAGTACTTCCAGTGTCCAACCAGCGACCCAAGGACAATATGAACAAAAAACAACCATCACAAAACATGAAACACCCACCCCCACCCTCGTCCAACCGTCACATACCACCGAAAGCGCCCCATGCCAAGGCATACCGAGGCGCTTTGACCCACTCCTCCAGCGACAGCGTGGCGTCCACGTCGGGTCCTAGCCTCTGCTTCCTCTGGAGCTCCGTGCTGCGGAAAATGGCACGGGGGGCGGCTCTCCTGGGTCCAAGAGGAACAGAACAGGGAGTTGAGTTGTATATATAGTTGTATTGGGTTGGGTGGGAAGTTAACTTGCGATTTTGTGATGGGACTAAGCATAAAAATGGGACTTAGCATGGGAACTGGCAATTGCGTGTGCTCAGCGTAACAGGACGTTGTGTTGGACAGTTTCATGAACCTGATCGCTTGTAGAGGAAGGAGAAGTCGTAACAGGGTGTCCATGTGAACCTTAACTTAACCCTTTTATATAGACAGCAATCAGAGGATTTCTTGGGCATATCAAGGCACAGCGAGCGAATGGGATACTGCTTGGTCTGGGTGAAAACTAGACTGCCCTTTTATCCGGAGGCCACAACAATTGGACCAAAAGGCTTACAAGAAATATCACAAGACCTTCAGGCCATCACAGGACCTGTTATCTCCTGTTACAGCCACCAACTTGCCGAAGATTAGAACAACCGAACAGCACTTCACTGAAAGCATGGGACCCTTCCACTTGACCGACTGCTTGGCAACTCCAGATGGCACGCCAACCACCTCCTCTCTACCCAAGCCAGCACCTGTTAGCAGGCTATTTTTTACCTTTGAGACGCCCATCCTTCCCCCCACCCCTTTAGACAAGGCTCGCCGGATAAGCCCACCTTGGTCCAGGCTTCTCCGAAACACAGCACCAGTGCTTGCCTTATAGACGCAGGACGCGGAGTTGGCAGGGACGACAAAAGAGAAGTGAACCCCTCGGACCCTTGGAGACGGCTAGAGACGCCGGCCGAGATTTGGTGACGAAAGAAACTCCATTTGGTGTCTTATTACATCTTCCACATTTGGAAGTTCTCTTTGGGCTACTCAAACATACCTCTTGAATGAGTGAACACACATCTTACACCACCCTCCACCCTCCACCTCTACTTAGCATGCACCGCTCATCTCTCACCCCAGTCCTGCATCTTGCTAGATACTACTTCTGCCTTCCACCTCCCCCGGTCCCCCCCAACTTTCTCCGGCGCCAACCCTTCTGCTTCCTCCATGGTGCTTCTCGGCAAAAAAGCTCGTCCGTCCAAAGCCCGCTGGCAGAGTGCGAGGAAGTGAGGAGTGGAGTTCAGAAGGGAATTGGGAGTCAATGTGACACAAGGAAGAAAACCATGGGGAAAAACGCACATGACGTTCCAAAAGCAACTGGTGCTTTACTTAGCATCTGGGCCATTTGATTCGATTTGATTTGTGTCCGCCAAAAGCCTGCCATACCGATGGCTCGGCCCTGTCGCCTGTCAAACAGGTTTTTGAAACTAAAAAACATCGAACATGATCGGCCAATTCACCTGATACATCCTGATACTATATAGAACATGATAGAAACCCTTATCCTGGGTGGATATGGGCGTTCGATCTCGGCGATGTTGAAGGCGTTTCGGTTTTCCTCTGGGCCGGGCCGCTCGTTGTCCTGGCTGCCTGGCATAGGATCCGTTGGTCCGTGCCCACGAGAACAAGGTACAACATACGAAATCAGCAGAGTCTGCGACCGTGTGCACCTGAAACGAACCAGAGACAGAAGGTCTCGGTCTCTGGAGCTCGAGCTAGCTCGATCATTTTGGCGGTTTTGATCTCGGGCTTTTCTCATCCAAAACCCAGTTGAACTGCACGCCCCAAATAGCACGAACATCCATTGGAACCGTCCATCTACTGCCAGGGCGGACCGAGTCACCCCTGGGTGGACCGTCTATTTTGGGTGACCATTTCTCGGGTCATCAGTGATCCACAGAACGACATCAAAGCCCTGAGTTGGGTTTGACGTTGACCATGCTTCTTCAGTCCATTTTCGACCCTCAAACCAATGCGCCCGCTCCCGTCCTCCCAAGAGGACAGAGCCACGAAGCCCTGCGCGGAGGAAGGTGTTGGGGTTCGGGGGGGGTTCGTTGCGGCCGGATGGGTGGATGGCCGACAGACGAAACCGTTGTGATTTGACACCAAATGGAATTATAAAGATGTTACCTTTGATTCGGGGCGCCAAAATGAACTGGGGCGCTGTTGAAAAGCATCACTGTTGAATCGAGCAAACCTTGAATAAGTATCAATCAATCATTGAAGAAACCACACCATCGGGATTGGGTGTTATCATGTGTTATCCACCCACTTGGTGTTGGTTTGATACTATTATGATTTCATATCGATACTATCATAATCTATCATACATACGTTGTTTGATCCATCTCAGATTCTCACATGTTAGCCCTGGTGGATTTCATTGGCCGTTCTGCCGGATTGGTTGTGCTAGCCCCCGCCTTCACTTCATCTTCGTGCCCACAAAACCTGACGAATCATCAGTTAGAGATCTTGTACCATCTTGTACCCACCCTCCAGCACAAGAGAACCTTCCAACAAACACCTGCACTCATACCTGCCACACCACCTCCCCAGCTACCTGCCACGCCCCTCCCATGCTCCACCCCTGCGTTCTCCGCCTTTCCAGGAGCTCGTGGACACACGGGATGGCGAAGGCGAGGCACCGGGACTGGAGCCAGGGAGCTGCAGCTTGCTGGGACCTCGAGGTACATCGATCGCGGCCGCGGCCGCGGCCGCGTGCGCCGCGTGCGCCACCAGGCGCGTGAGTACGGTGGGTGAAGGTTGGTGGCCAGGTCGAAGCGGTTCCGATGGAGTTCATGCGGGGCTGTTGCGGTTCCAGTACGAGTCGGATCCGTACTTGTGACACGCGGAAGTCGGAAGGTTAACATCAACTTGTTGGTAGTAGAAAGGTCATGTCGCGTCGGTTTTGATGACTGCTTTCCCAGCCGTTCCCTGGATCTTAAGGTACAAGGATAAGGGACTCTTATTGGTCTGAATCTTAGAGACAGCACACCAGGCGGTGTGGCTATTTCGTTTCAAACCATTCCCTGCTGGAAAAGGCTTACTCAACACACCCTTGCAAACTCTTGTCTCTTTGGCTTAGGACACCTGCACCTGGACCCCTCAGCATCCCCTCACCTTGCTCGCATGAGTCACATGTTGCTAGGCTTCCGTGCTGCCCGGCGCCTTGGGCAAGCTCAAGCCGGAACTCGCCAACCTGGGCACCAGTGCGACTGAAGAAAAGCATCAAGGATCACTTTGACACTGCCTTGATCCTTCTTTTCTTGGACAAGGCAGTGTCAAAGTCAACACTGAACAATAGTGATGTGACAATCACTGGACAACTGGACTCCTGAGGTGACTCTGATTCATGCTTGATTTCTGCCAACCCCTCTCTCGTTCAAGGGCAATGAGCAGCAGGGTGTCCATACTGTGAAAGACTCTGCCAAATACAGCACAGCTTAAAGGTCCAAGCAAAAGTCCAACAGAGTCTCCAAGAACCTCCAATTCTACCTCAAGCACTGAAGTCTAAAAGCTCAAGAACTGGGCAACAACAAACCCATTCGACGGCACAAAGCCTGCGCGAAGCCTTCGCTGGCCCGACCTGCCTGGAAGCCAGTGCTGGTGCAGTCACCTTGGGCACTGCTGGCGCTGCTTGCGCTGCCTCTTCTGCCATGCGACTACCAACTGTGCAGGTCTGATGCACCAAGAAGACACGTCTGAAGAGCACGGACGCAAGAAGTGTCACGGCATGTCACGGTCTATTCAATATTCTGATTGCAGACTGCGTGGTCTGTTGTGTTGAAGACTTGCAGCAATGGAGTTGTGATTTTCTTTTTTCAGCATGATCTCTACAATGGCCTTGCAGGCCTTATGGTGCTTTTCAGTTGCTATTTCTAAGGGGCATCATGTGAGAGGATCTATTGCGATTCCCTTCCTATGCCGTGCTTTCCTGATTTTCCTGGCTCGGAAACATCTGTGTCTTTCCTCGTCACATCTCGAAACCTCTCCCCGCAAAGGAAAACGGGAGTCTTCTCGGAATGACCATGAATCTTTTCAGACGAAACAGGTGGATTTCACGTGATTTCATGACCAACAGGAGTGTAGGGTTTGACTCTTGTCTTCCAACGATCACATGTCATCCAGTAAGTTGACTCGACTGCCTGGAGCGACAGCTATAGCCAAGACATCAAATGACACCGATCATGCCAGTTTCAGCCTCTGAAAGTTCAGCATATGTGAGAGACATAAAGGTAAAATCCTGGGTACAGGGGCGGCTGATGAATCAAACCCCCTCCCTTTGGATTGAAAAATCGGAAGGTTCGGATGGTTTTATGATTGTGTTTCATTGTGTGTCCGTGTTTCATTTCTTTTCAAATCACTCATCTACATTGGAATGCCTGGGGAGTTGCATCATACCCAGACATCTCCACTGTCTCATGGACCGGTAACGGAACGTGCCGCCCCAGCCAGGTCGTGCTGTCTGGCACCACCCCTGGGGCGGCAGTCCGGCAGTCCAGGACAGGTCGTGTCTGGGTATGACTCAACATGTACAGGCATATGATGGCGGTCACGGGTTCCCCGGATGTGAATAGCAAATCTGTGGTCGGTTGACCTACAAAGGGTCATCTAATTCTGTTCATCCACTCGGTGGAAAAAAACCGGCCACGGCGCCATGACACCCACTGCATTATGGGTGTGCAATATAGGGAGACCTCCCAGGTTCATTGTGCCCCCTTGCAAAAAGAACGGAACCAATTTGACCCGTCTATCCAGGGGCGAGAAAGGGTGAGACCTATGACAAGACACCTCTATCGAACTAAGTCAGTTGATCCCTCCACGTCGATGCAACTTGGAGCTACCTAGCCTCCTTAAGGGCCGATTTCATAAGGAGGCCGTAGTCGAATGAGGCCAGGAGGTGTCCACTTGTCATGGGGCTTTAGGCTTAGAGCAGAGAGGGCCTAGGGTATTTCATCATTGGTCTTTATAGTATTCTTAATGATGTGTTTGACGTCATAGATTGGACGATCCGTGAGAACAACTACATCCAACCAATACCTCCACCCATTGCAAACACCGGTGGAATCGGGACATGGACCGAACCCATCCGAACACAGCAACTCTTAGTCTCACGCCCGATTTGCGCTTCGGATCTACTAGTATATATATATGTGGCAGGGACCTTTTGGTAACATTTCGTTGCGGATGAAAAGCACCGGCACATTTCTCACTAGCGCGCACAGGTCTCATTTGCCCATGCCACCACGCACAGGGGAAGGAGAAACCGGACGTCGCGGGTCCTTAGATCGGTTTCTCATTGTTTTTCATTGTTCAATTATTGCACATGTATATTGGGAAGCATGCGTTGCAACTAATGAATCAGCCAAAGCGTCGTCCACTGATCTCTGGCCTGTGTGAAAATTCTCCCAGTAGAACACTCCTGGCTTTGTGCCTTGGATACAAGCGCTGATGGCTGATGGTTCCCGAAGCCTAGAACGGTTGGCATGACGTTCAAAAGCTTGTTACGCTTTTCAAAAGAGTACGGCCGCTTTTGCGTTCAAGCCAGGCTGCGGCTTTCGATCTTGCGCCAGCTCAAGTTGTACGCCTTTTCCTCACAAAGGTACCGATTGAAAAATCTTTTCGATAACCATCAACCGGATTGATTCCCGCGCAGATATGAACATAGTGTTTGGTGAATTCAATTCATGAGTGGCTTCGTGCCAAAACAAATGAGGCTCCCAAAAGCCACGTGATCATACGGTTGAAAGAGTTAAAAGAATGTCTCCGTCATTTTCGCATGCCAATCATCCTTGCGTCTTTGCAACGCGTCGAACCATCCTTTGGAAGGGACAGAGGCCTCCACCATTTCCTCAGCGTGCAACTCTGAAACGCCCAGGGCGCATTGATTGAATTGTTTGTCCATGTCGGGCCGCCAGAAATATGTTGATTTGAGCGTTAAACAAAAGTTCCTGCAACTCCGTAACTTGCCCGCAATTCTGCCAAATCTGAGACCCTGGCGTGCCATCTGGGCTTGAAGCCCCTGCCAGGTGGTGCGGATGTAAATGGTCTACGCAGGTAAACTGTAAAGAAAGAGCCACTCTTGCAAAGCAATACATGTTCTTTTTGGTGGCTAGAATCAGACTCTGCTCCACATGGATTGTGAAACTAACAAGCGCAAAACACAAGCCAGAGCACAAACCTATGTACGTTTTTGTTGAAGCATCAGCTTTCGTAAGCTCAACAAATCATATGTTTCTATGTTCGCTCGGCACCATAGTTCTAGTTTCTCTTTGGAGCGGCGTCCTACACCACCGGAGTATGGATTTCGTCGCCCGACTCACCTTTCTGCACCCGGAATACAATCCGACGGGTCACGAAAGCATTGTCTCCCCAACGACGCACTGGCCTTGCCACCGTGGACACCATATACATCGACGGGTCCCGTAGCTCCTGGATGGGGCAACCACATACCATGACTTACAAAAAAGAATAAGCATGAATAGCACGTATATTGTTGATGCTTTGACAGTTTGCATGGCTTTTGAAGAGTTTGTTTGCTTTTGTTGTGTTTACTCTTCTTCACACTCCGCAGACCTTCGCAGGACAATGATACTTGGCTAAGATCCTTTATCTAAGCTTACTGTTCTGCTTCGACTCTTCACCTCCACCTCGCCAGATCCCCGATTCGACGAAGCGGGTGTCCTTGGACTTCTCAAGGGCAAACTCCAAGAGCTTTGCCGCATGCTGTGGCGGAAGGCCTGGGACATCGCAAACATCCGATGGTTAAAAACACAAAACAAACAATGCACTTCCAAGTCTGTCAAAAGAAGTCCTTCATCAAAAGGATTCTGATCAAAACCTTTCAACCAGCTCTCTGGAGAACATGTGAAAAAAGAAAAGTCTGATACCTTCTATACATCTCAAATATCATTACATCTGTGTCTTCATAACTCTACGCCGTTCCAGTGGCCTGTCACTGCGACGAGCGCTTCGTTTTGTACCGAAGGACCACCTTTTTGCACCTGGCTCCTCAGTGACGACCACATATCCATCCGACCGGGAAGATCGAAAGCGGACGTTCACAATCCACCGAAACATTGCTTTTGGTTCAAGGGGCGACCATCTGCATGGAAGTCTATCATAGAAATTAAGGGGGGACCATCTGGATGGACGCTGTATTACAACTCACCGACTGCCCTCGACCAAAATCTAATCTCTGAGAATCAAATTGGATTAAAGTTCACAGGGTATGTTTCTTGAAGTGCTTCACTGTCAGTCTCTATGTTTCACTTCAGATCCCCACAGAAGCCGCTCCATGGTTATTGGATCAATGCCTTCCGGGCCTGAGCCACGAAAAGACAGTCGATCCGAGAAACTTTCCCATTCGTTTCCAGGAGACAACTGAAGAAGCCATGCCATGGTATGTGAAAAGTAAGGAACTAAGCAGTAAATTGATTTTAGTGTTTATGTGAGGAAAACACCTCTTGATATGGGTAGTGGCCCTGTCATCGACCGTCTCCCCACTCCTCACCTGAAGGTGCTGCATTTTGCAGACCTTTCGCAGCTCCTGTGCCAAGCTTTCCGCATTCAATCGGATCAAGGAAAACCTAATGCAGCCTATAGGCAAACCGACCTGGCGATGATCTGTGATTGGTAGATCACTTGTCAATGTGTCAACTTGTCAACGGCTAATGCGTTTGTGTCACTCATTCACTAATAGCCGAAGTGTCTCGCATCACGACAATCAAACATGATTCGAAAAAAACGGCGCGGAGCGCTTCGGCGTAATCCGCCTGGAGGAAGCTTCTCAGCGACCTGCAGCCATGAAGATTTCGTAAAGTTCCCTCATGACACATGTCGTGGCGTCGTTGCTGTGCTAACTGTTCTCAGAATGTGCACTGTGTAGTTTGTTCTGTCCTATTTCAATCCGTACCCTTGCGCACAGCTGAACGCTCAGCATGAGAGCCGGGCCTCTTCGGCTCGCGCAACACACTGCTTCTTTGCCGCAGCGCCGCGCTCACCTGTCATGCCGGTGGCGCATCTTTGGGTATGAATATGCCATATAATGTTCCGCTGTACCTTCTTGTCTACAACATATGATGTTTGATCAATATTCTTTCATCCTGGAATGGCCATTCATCGCGAAAAAGCAGATATCTTTCGCGGATCTTTCGCGACCTCATCGCGAAGCATGTTCCTCAAGAGAGGTTGGTTACTTAACATGTTTTGGGTGAGTCAGAGAGTCATGTATATTTATATATAGAGATACGGTGGGCGGAAGAAGAAATCCTGCACCACTTTGATACAGCCGTCATCCAAAGCTGACAGACCAGCAGCCCCACATCCCTATTCCAGGTCGTTGGGGTATGGGGGTGGGGTCAAGTTTGGTAGGCAGAACTTTATCGGCACATTCGTGAAACTTTCGCGGATCTTTCGCGAAAAATCATTAATGATTTCCCCATTGGCTCAAACTGGCTCAGCCAGGTGATTGCACTTTGGCTGTATTTGGCGCCATCTCTGTGGCTAGATTGCTTCAAGCACAAATGCCTCTGACAACTATACACATCTGTGATCTATGACACATAATACAGGAATCCCACAAACATACGCTACACTACACATTGACATCCCAAAACAAACTGAAACCAAGTAAAGTTCTACGTAGAAGCTTTTTAT